GGATGGTCTGTTTGAGCCAACCAGTCGATAGGAAACAAACAGAGTCCAGGATCCACGAACATTGTGAATGCTTCTTGTGACATGCGCGCATCAAAGAGAGGCGTGAATAGTTTGACTTTCAACAGGGGTTTGTCAATAAAAAACTTGGGAGTGGGAATGTCCGAAATCAGCCTTACCGCTATACCGCTCCCATAGATTCTTCTCGTTATATTCACCATGTCCCTGGGCGTCAGCGGTCTCGGGATCGGTTGAGAGGGAAGCACCGACTCTTGTGCCGAGACTGCCCATGCCAGGGCGAAAATCCCTTCTTGTGTGGCTGTGAGGAGTGGAAGTAAGTGCGTCTCCCATTCCTTATTTGAGTTTGTGGCTTGACGCCTGTTCCGCTTGAGTGAACTCAACCCTTTAGCTATTGAGTCTATGGTGGATTGTCTCCCCTCTCCGTTGTCTCCTTCGACTGGCGAGATGGACGGTTCGGCATGTACTTCCTCATCCTGAATGCGTAGGTCGTGCATGTCCATGCTCAACCTCCTTCTCTGCTTCGTTGGCGTGAATTCCTCTCTTGTTGTTGTCATTCTCTTCTTCTTCGACGATCCCGAGTCCATTTGGTCCAACGACTTTTGGATTGGCTTCTTCCTTCCGAAATGACTTTTCCTTTTCCCTGATTGGTTTCTGCTCCCGTTATCGTCTTCAACTTGTTGTCGTCACCTGTGGTTTCGTAGACTCTCTGAGTGGTCTTCATTCCTTCTATGAAGCCTGGGTTTATCCCTGACCTCTCTTCGACGGAAATTGCGTTCTCCACTTCCCTCGTCCCTGGGATGGGGGAGAAAACGGGATTTAGAAAGTTGCACCCTCCATCCTGAGGTCGGCCATGTCCACCTTGGAATTGACTCAAACTATCTTCCTCATGCACTTGTTTCCTTCCTGTTGGGCCGAGCTTCCCGGAGTACGTAGGTTGTTTACTCCTCCTCTCGCCTGAGTTCTCTGAGGGAGTTCTTCCCCTATCTCTCTCCGTTGACCTTTGCCGTCGTCCCCTTCCTTGGGACGATGGCGCCTTCCCTTCGCCGGATCCTGCTATAGAGGTTGCCTTGCTGCCTGGATGACTGCCACCATGTTCGCTTGCGCCGCTACTCAGACCTGAATGACTGGGAACATGACTAGGAATCTTCTCCTCCTTGTACGCGTGCATTGGTCCTCGGAGTGGAAATATTTTCGACACGTGCTACACCAGGGTGACGTTGCATTCGCAACTTGTAGCCCTATTGATTGCCCCTGGAACGTTATGAATTCCAGTGTCTTTCAGTCTGGCTATACTCTCTATAGCAATATCCATCCGAACATTGATGAACTGAGGAGTACGCGCGTTCTTCTCCGATGGAAAAACTTTTATCACCTGCCCGATTGATGCCTCTGCCGCTGATTCCAAGTAGCAAAAGGCATCTATAGGTACATCGATGATCCGAATCCAAAAATAGGTCTTCTCCACATCCTTCTTTGCGTCTCGGATTTTAACTTTTGTCAACCATGGTTTGAAGGCTATATTATACCAGCGTCTCTTCAACACCACTCCGAAAGACCCCTCCTCAATCATCCAGTATGCCACTCGCTTGTCCTTTGCCACGTAGGACAGGACGCTACTTGACTCGATGCACACCCTGCCCCTAGTGATGGCAGGGTCGAATCTCTGATCGTTCATCCATATATCTTCAAACGCTCGTATGACGTCCTCTTTCATCTTCTTTGGAAGGTTCTTAGAACCTTCTAAGAAAATGACCGTCACAGTTCGTTCTTTCAACTATTTGACCTTGATTTCATCCAAGGACTGGTTGAGTAAGGAACGAACTTTGGTTCCCTCCTCCCTCAATTCTCCTATGTCCCACCCCGACGGGAGAATTCCCGCATCATAGCACTTCGCCATCATTTCACGTACTCGATCCTCTTCTGGCCAGTAATTTGTGTGCGCTTGTGGTGGAGACCTATTTCTGTTGCAGTCATCATCTTCTAGCGCCGTTTGTGGTCGTGGTTGACCTGGCGTAGTCGCCTCATCCGCTCTCACCATTCCGACATCATTCGCATGAGGCTGTCCTTGTTCTCCCGTCTAGACCCCCTTAGGGGCACTCGCTTCGTCAATTTCCATGACCGAATGTGGCTTCTTCCTTAGGGTAAGTCTTCTCTCAGGCTTGCTTGAGCTTCCTTGTGGCTTCTTCCTTAGGGTAAGTCTTCTCTCAAGCTTGCTCGAGCTTCCTTGAATTGTTGGACCTTACAACTTTCCGTAAAAGCTATGGGTACGGTCCAGTAAATAACTGCAACTGTCCTACTCGAGCCCTTCTAGTTGGTACCTACTCGACGGGGCCAGATGCAACCATCACTTCAGATTGTTGACAAGACACCATCACCTTCAGTCATTTCGACGCAACTGTCTCCCGGAGGCCTTGTCGTCGAAGATCTTCAGTTTCAACGGAGGGCACAATTTTTCTAAAAAGATCAATTTCTTTATTTCTGAAAATCAAACTGTCTCCCGGAGGCCTTTTGTCGACGCTCTTCAGTTTCAACGGAGGACGCTGTTTTTTCTAAAGATTAATTTCTTTATTCTCAAGATCTACGGATGCGAGTGCTTGAACCAAGATCCACGACGGGACTCAGTGGAACTTACCCTGCGGGAAGGAGCCCCTCGGAGGACCGACCGCCACTTGATCTAAACCCATCGCATAGGCAAACCTGCGGTCACAGCACAGCCACCAAGTCTGCTCAGAGGCTGAGTTGTTTTCCTCACCAAGATTTTGGCAAAGCGGTCCCGCCCACCCTCGATTTTCCCGCGGTGTGTGGGCCTGCGGCCCCAACTCTATGACTCACTTCTGAGCAATCGGGCATCATCAAGGACTTCTGTTTTTTCTATTTTATCTCGACTGGACCCAGGCACTAGACTGCTCAAATAAACTTGCTGGAGGCACGTTCTGGGCTAGCCTATAGGTGCTATGAAGAACAGACATGGCTGGAGCTTCGATTTCTGGCAGCTAGACCGGTGGCGGCGATTTTTGCGCCGTGAATCTGCATCCCCATCTCAAAAAAAAAAAAAAAAAAAAAAAAAAAAACCCTAAAATGTCTAAAATACTTGAAGAGAGATAGAAGAAATCCTGTTGCTCTACGACGGTCAAATGTCCTTTTTTGTTTTTGGAAAACAGGGAAAAAGCTTTTATCAGCAGTTGATTCTCCCTTTTTGCCTTTCTTTTGAGTTGTCGCAGGAACCGTCTCGCGAGACGAAGGGAAGCGACACCCAGAGAACTGTTGACGTCCCCTGCAAACGAGACAAAGGGCCTCGCTGCACTACTCTCGACATGCACAAAAGACAAAAATCATGGCGATGTATCTTTCCATATTCTAGCGGAATATTCACTCTCGTTTTGCAGATTTCGAGAGTAGTGCAGCGAGGCCCAAAGGCCCTCGCTCCCCTACTCACGACATGCACAAAAGACAAATTACGGCGGTGCCTATCTTCCCTTTTTTTTTTTTTTTTTTTTACCCCCTTCCCATGTTCTAGCGGCAGATACGTTCTTTTTCTTTTTTTCTTTGTTTGGGGGCAAATACGTTCTCATTTTGCACATTTGGTGAGTAGTGGAGCGAGCCCCAAAGGGAAACGACCACGCCGTTTTGATAACAGTCCAATCTTCCTCGCCGAAAGGACATTGAGACCGATTGAACTGTTTGACCTCCGTCCGTTGACTATACCTGTGCACGACGGACGTGTTCATTCACCGAGGGGCATCTTCGTACGTGAACCGCCGTAGATTGCGGACAGCAGATTTGACACTCTTCAGTGTGGGACAGAAAGGCAAGAATTTCCCCCTTCCCCGCCCAAAGGGCACTAAGAGGGAAGGTATGACGGGGCCTCTGCCACCTGGTGCTGTGCTATGGGACAAGAAGAAAGGCACGATAAGAGCATCCTCGGCGTGGTGGTGAGTGTAGTAGAAGTGAGCTCAGCGGGTGCAATTCACACTCTGAGAGGGCTCTCTGTCTTGTGCAAGAGGTGACACGTGGCAGTCATCCTGCACAGCAGGTTAGCTACCTCTCCTCTGCTTATCCTCCTTCTCCTACCTCTGCGGCTCCTGTTCCTCCCCTTCCATCCCACCATGATCTCTACCTTCCCTCGTTCTTTCCTCTCCACTTCCCTACTTGCTCCTCCCCTCCTCCCCCTCCTCCCCC